TAAAAATTCAAGTATAATTAATTAAAATTCTTTAAATATAAATTATCTAAATATAAATAAAGATCAATCTAACATAAATAACTAAAACGTTAATAATAGGTTGGATAAAATTGGATTAAATTTAAATTTTATTGAATTAGATTTAGGTTTGAATGTTGAATTAAATTTAAAATAAAACTAATTTACATATTTTTTTAATTTTTCGCGGGGATGGAGATCCCCACGAGGCCCTGCGTGACGGGGAAAATTTCCTGCGAATTTTCACGGAGAAAAAGTACTCCCCGTCCCCATCCCGCGAAGAGGAATATTCCTCCTTGCCCCGTCCTCGTGGCGGAGATCGGGGCAAATTGCCATCCCTAAATGCAGTAGATATATATATATATAACATATTACCTCTAGAATACTATAATTTCATAATAATACTCTATGAAATTGTACTATTTACAGAGTTACTTAACTCAAAATATTTTTTTTTATCCAAAAATATTTAGTAAATAAAGTAAGATAAGAAAAATAAGAGAATATGGGGAAACTTCTGCTTCTTTAGCAAAATGAGATGCCAAATTTATAAGATTCATGATCAAATTAACGTTTATTTATATGTTAATAATAAGAATAAATTGAGTAGTTATTATGAAATAATGTGTTTTTAAATAAAATAATTAACTTATAATAGTAATTAGTTTGATCAAAGTTCCTAATGAGGTAATAAATTTAATTTATAAAATATATTATTTTATTTTTTATTAAAATATTTAAGTTTCATTACTTGATGCATGATCGACTCTAAGATTTGTGTGTTATATCGTTGATTGTTGAGAAAATCCATTCAATCCTCTCTTAAAGTTGAGAGCTAAGGCCAAACTTTCTTCCTCCTAGCTCAGCTGATAAGTATAATTGGTTTGGTTAATTATTTTTCGTTCCAGTTATACTATTTGGAATATGTCATAAAAGTACATTAATTATATTGATTCTCCAGAAGTCTCGCTCTAGTCTACTAGATAGTATAAAATTTTCAGTTTGCCTAAGTTATGATCATTAATTAATTTTCTATATATTTAGAGAAAATGTTCTGTTTCTTATGCAGTCTACACATCCTCCTGTATTGCTTCTCATATTAGTAATGTATTATCAACAAATTATAGGTGAGAAATTGATAATTTCCCATTCCCCACCAGTACTTTAAAAAGCCTTCAAAACATTTGCCGATGATATAACTATATTCAAACCCTTTGCTTACTATAATGGATCTTCTTGCTGTCTCAATCTCAATCCACAATATATATCGTTAATTAGAAAACTCCCTGCAAGGACTACCATTATTAATGATAAATCCTTAGAATGTGACATGCTATATAGTTTTTATTCAAGTTTTTTTTACTTAGTGCGTTCACTACTCACTGTTACATGAATTTTTGCTACTATTGTTGAAGAGAATAAGGAAAGGAAATGGAATTTCCACATGTTATTTGATAAATTGAAAAATTAAACTAATTAAAAACTCCAATACACCAAACATGAAGTACAGCACATACCGTGTACCACCACAAAACGGACAAAAAAACAAAGCAAAAGCAAATGATAAAAGACGGGTGGTCATGGATGAATAAACTAATGGAAACAATTCGAGTAGTTCATTTTTTTTTGAAAATTGGTAATGAATTCGAGTAGTTCATGAATGCACGTGAAGGAGGGATTAGTGAGATTACGACGCAAGTGTTG